CAATTCAAAAATCTATAAGATCAATAAGATTAATATTAATAAAGAATAACTGAATAAATTTAATAGTTCTAAAACTAGTTTGAGACTAATTTGAATGAATTAAAAAATGAATTTAAAGATTAACATAATTATTAACTAAAAGTTTAAAATAGTAAAAATGAGAATTTGAATAAAGTTATTAAAGAGTACTAATTAAAGATCAAAGAGGTAGAAATAAAAAAAAAAGAATAAGATATTGAAATAAAAGAATTGAATTAAAGTATAATTGAATTCAAAACTAAAATATAAGAATAAACTAGTTAAATACATGTATTTAAAGATAAAGAATAGGCATACTAACAATTAGATTAAAAAAATAAAGAATTGATTAAAGATATTGAACAATAATAGTAAATGAAATAATCATAATTATATAGGGAAATATAAGATTAAAAAAATTTAATTGAATACTATGAAAAGAATAGTAAACAATATTAAGAAAAGTTATCTGAATTAAATTAATCTATTAATCAATATAAATCTTAAGAAAAAATATTACAAAATAAAATTCAAGAGAATGAAAAGAAAATTTAAGAATACTAAGATTTTAATCAAAATTAAAAGATGCAATTATAATAATTAAATTAAATTATTTAAAATTCTTAGTAAATAAAAGAATAGGAAGATAAGAGTGAAATTTTAATAAATAAAATACTCTTATAACTTGAAAAATAAGACAATCAAATTCAACTTTAATACAATATTTTAAGTGAGAAGAAATGTAAAGAAAACTTATAACAAAATGAGAAAGAAAAGAAAATTTAAGATTACTAAGAGATTATTCAAAATTAACAGGTCCAATTATTAAAATTAAATTAAATTATTGCAGATTCTAAGCAAATAGAAGAACTAGAAAATCAATTTGGAACTTAAATTCTTAAAATACTTGATTCACTAGAAAACCAATAAAATCAAAAATTAATTCAACTTTAATAGACAATAGTTACAGAACTAAAATCCATTAAAATAAACTCATAAAATTAGTCTGGATAGAATGTATATCAAGAGAAACTGGAGGAATTAATATAACTAAATGCTTAATTATAAAACACAGTTTAATAATAAGAATGCCAACTTCAATAAAAGAACATATAAATAGATATCGTTAGATCTGAAACCAAACGTTTATTAGAAAATTTAAAAAAAAATTCTATTTAACCTTAAAATATAAACATGCACATACGATAATCCATAGCTGCCTTGATTGCTTAATAAATTAAAGATATCTAATAAATATTTTAGATTATAGATGAAGCTAAGAATTAGATTGTCTCCTTTCTTTCAGAAAATAAAAACCATAGTATAAATCAGGATAAAGGGTTTGCGAGCGATTTAGAATACATAAAAAGCTAATCTTCGCTGCT